TATTGAAACAATTATCCTACAATTTTTGTAGATCTGGCACATTGTTTTAGATTTATGAATTCATATTTGTTGAATAACTGTCATATTTCAACTGTCATATTTCAATTTGAATTTTCAGCATTCAGCTGAAATTGTAGTCAAAATTTAATGACTTTGTGCCGGTTTAGCCACATTATTCCACATTATAATGAGAAGAACAATAATTTTTGAAGAATATGCGGTTAAAAAAGAAGAAAAAGTTTTTGAATTTATGTATAATATTATTTTATTGAAAAATGCATGATTGATAAAAAAGGAGAAAAATGAATTATAATTTAAAATGGAATAAGCAAACGGAGGCTTTATATGCGCATTTGTAGGCTACGAAATCTGTACGTGATAGTCATAGATCTACTGTCCTTAACTCTGATGAATGATTTTATTTAAGTGTGAATTGAATACAAATAATTCCGTTCTCAAATTAAGTAAAATTTTGTTGTAACAATTCTATGTACAATATAGTGGAAATGATACTGCGAGTTTTTTTATATACTTTTACTACCACGATGCTATTGTATTAGGATTGTTCTTCCGTTATTTTGGCTTTAGATGTGTGGAGTTCAGTTTTGATTTTAATTATGTTGGATATAAGTTTGTCAAAAAACTACCCAATTTGCCTAGATGTTTGTAATCTTCTAATTTAATCACACAGAGCTAAAGCAGAATACCTTTGTTCAGTGATTAAGTCCTTATCTGGTTCAAGTTGTTGATTCTGGCATGCGTTCTATATTTTTGTTTTTGGCTTGTTGGTTCAAATTCAGGCTTGAGTTCCAAGCATTTTTAAATCTTCAATACTGTATCAACATGATTCCAAACTACAAATCTTCTTTGATATTTTCCAAAGTATTGACTACATTGGCAAGTGAGCATCAAAACCAAAACCCCAGACTACTGTCATTGGTAGTGATTTTACTCGAATAGTTCCATAGTAGCAGGGATTTATTGACAGAAATGATACAGATGCTGCATTGACAGCATCTTTATGGTGCATTTTATGTGTTTATTGTGTCAAAAATCAATGAAAAACTGCCATGTGTTTTTCTATAAAAATTCTTTTAACATTTTTTGTTTTTTGTACTTGTAGTAAGATTGATTTTACTCTTAGCATACCCTTAGCATTTTTACCATGGGGTACTTACAAAAATACCCTTAAAATTAGGGGTGTTTTGAAAAATCATGTGAAAGATTTTTA